TCGATAGAATAGGATGCAGTGGAAGAGTGAAATGTTTTTGCCAAGGTGAAAAGGCCAAAAAGGATTTCTAGTGATGGCACTCCAAGAAGCACGTGGAAACGTTCCGCCGCCAATTTGTAATAGATGTACGGCGGAAATTTAAACGCATAACAGTCCCCCACTTTTTCGAAGTCTTTATCAACCATCCGCATTTTTTTTTTTTTTTCGTTCTTGTCGTATAGTACGGCTCTCAAGCTAACGATTTACGGAGGACATAGAATGCTATTTTTTTCGTGGACGGTTTCTTTAATAATGTATCCCATACCGTGCATTATGCGGTAACTCTTGATCTCAAAACTATTCCTCCACACGTCAACGGTCCCGGTAGCAACTGACAGGTCGAGTCCCACAAGGCGATCAAAGTTTTCCCTCTTGAGTCTTTTGAATAGTTCGAGACTCGTAGGATTCGTCCCTGAATTGCATATCAACTGGGCGCGCAGAAAAAATGCAAAGAGCAAATTACGGTCACAACCACCACGATTTTGAATGGGACTGCAATTGTGGCTCACAGTGAGAGTAGTAATGAGCGCTGGAAACCTTCTTCTTTTCAGTGTTTTACTTTGCATGAACTGTAAGCCGTTAACTAGTCTTCTACCGTAGCTGTTTTGAACACTGTCTATCACCTATGTTTCTGAATGCTCTACTGTCCTATTTGCTTGCTGCAACCTTTTCTTTCTGAATTGGGAAACATTTTACTAATTTTCAGCAATGTCGTCAGTTGGGAAGAGTTATCATGCTAATGCGGATCCAGTGATTGCTTACTGCAGTAAGGTCGGTACTGCTCTTTCTGAGTTTCACATTAGCCTCGAATCTCAATGAACTCTTATTCACTGCGACGAGTTGTCTTCACAAGTATATAGGGGGGGGGAGGCAAAAAAAGATATTTTGCCCATGTCGCACTTCGGCCTTTTTTTCGCAGAGATTGCCGTCGTTGACGGAAGTTCCTCAGCAAAATATTCCCTAAATGTCCCTCTATAAGTGAACGCAGGCCCTCCTTCACTGCCCTCACCGTCTTCAGAATATGACGTCATCTGTCACCGTCGTCGAGCTCAAGGAGGCCTACAGTAACTGCTTCAGCCTGAAGCTCTTACATAATTTCTTGAATCGATTCAATGTTGGATAGTTTTCTAGAAACATTAGCTCTGACTATGCAAACCCCCTCGAAACCGCTTTCAGAAACGTCGAAATGGTGTGGGATCCGTCGACGACCCCATTGAGCACGACCAGTGCACCATGTTTTCAGGCAATTTTTCTGATACCGTCCTAAGTAGACGGTCGCTATGAAGTTTAATTTTAAGCAGGAATTATTCGGTTTGAATTCAGCAAAATGTGATAAGTCGATTTCAACGATCAATTTTCCTTTTTTTCTCAATAGTTCAATTGTTCAAAAATTTCTTTTTTGTTGCCCCCATGTATGTAGGTGCTCAGTTTAGCAAATCATCCAAATCATTCAAATTTTTCTGAAAAACAAGGATTTTCAGATGACGGTCGTTCAGCATCCGTTACAAGAAGAGCTCCAGAAAGAGACACTAGAAAATGCTCCAATGCGAGGCATGTTGGGAGCCCCAGAGGTTGTTTCTTTTCAATTTTTCCTTTTTCATTAACGGTGCGTTATGTTCCTTTTTCCATGATTTCTTCCTAGAGCTCAGTTACTGTGGTAACTCAGTAAGTTGTACTGAGGATCAACCATAGGGTTGGATAAATTTTGGGATCAGCCTGCAGCCTCCCCCCTCATCCCCACCCCAGGGGCCTCTACACGATTCTGACCAGTGACACAGCCCAACTCCGCCCACTTTTTCTTCCAGAACTGCCGTCGAGAGTTGAAGGGGAGGGGAGGTAAATTGGTATTCTTAAGTGGCAAATCCACCAATTTGTCTTTAACGCGCTTCATAAAATTTCCCAGGAGTTCGTCAAAAAAAACCCGTCCAAAATCAACCTCTTTTAATCACCACCCTTCGTACGTCTCCAAGGATCATTCACTTCGTTCCACCCCCAGGTGCGCCCCCCCCCTACCTTCCCAAAATCACAAATGCGACCCTCTCGTTCGAATAGGTTGGACTGATTCGGAGACTTGTTCAAGCCTTAAGGCTGATAGTGGTGATGGGGTGTCATATCGAGACCCCTTTAGGAGGGGTGAAGGGGGAGAGGGGCGTCAAATTACGTAATTGGAACCGGTACAGGTGACCTGCTCCCAAGAACGTTGAAATAGTCGAAAGACCTGTGAGAAAGACGAGACTCGAAACAGCAGCGTAACATCGACTTTTCATCGGAGAAAATTTTTCACTTCTTGTTGTAAATACAGCTAACGGAAAAAAGTAACAACTAAAATTTCGGGAAGACCACAGCAAATTTTTACTACGGCCTATTGTATAATGATTAAGAATTGTGTTCAGGTGCTCACTGTTGGATCGAATTTAATGCATTTGATTGGCGCCAAGAGGGCTATTGACGTCGGAACATTCACTGGAGCTAGCGCACTCTCCTGGGCTCTGGCAGCTGGTGAAGGTGGACAGGTATTTTGGCAAATCTTCTACAGTTTCAGAAATAAGGCCATTTTCATATCGTACAAAGGAAATCAAATGTTAAAGGTTTATACGTTGGATGTCAATCTCGACAACTTCGAAAAATATGGTGCACCTGTGATCTCCAAGGATCCTGAAGTTTTCAAGAGAATCATTCCCATCAAAGGACCCGCTTTGGCTTCGTTAGGTGAGGATTTCACAGTGTATAGACCTAGAAATGTTGCCAAAATTCAAAGTTTGCTACATAACATTCAGAGAAATTGTCGCAGTACCCGGTATTTTAGCTCCTGTAACTCTAAAGTTCTTTTCTAGTCGTATTAGGCATGTTGCAAAAAAGCTTTCCACGACATTTATCACGGTGATAACATTTTCCACTCAGCCTTAGGGACCGCGCGCTGCCGCACCATCCACCCTATAGCATGGTTCTTACGATAACTAGGCAGCAGGGCCCGTCGTTGTGTGCTTGGTGGGTACGTAATACGGTAGCGCAGTATACGGTAATGCATAGGGATTTCGGATCTGTTTCAATATTTGTGCGAAATTCCCATACGAAGAAGTGATGGTCACCAAGAAAGTGACCGGCGCTAAAAGATCTCTCCGAGGAACTCGGAAAAAACCTTAAGGGGCGTTTTTGAATACGATGGATGGCAGTGTAGATACTTGAATGCTGAAATTATTTATAAAAACTCGAATGTCCCCAAAATTTTCCGTATTGTTTTGCTGTAAGAGTTGATTCCCATTATGCTGCATTAGCCTAGTACTCTTTGGAGAGTTCAGGTCCAAGAATCATTTTTCCCATGATCATCAATCCACACTTCTTGTAGTTATACCCGCTTGGAGTTGGCCAATTACTAATTGCTGTTCCAGTTAACGCGTCTTGACGCCA